TATATAATAAACAAATAAAATTGTATTTTAAAATTTTTCACAACTTTGTAAAGTATTTTTTATCTAAAATAAAATAAAACACTTTTATGAAAACTAAGCTAAATTTTATTTTCATTAAAAAATAATCTTATTAAACAACTTTTCTAATAACAAATAAATATAAAAATAATTTTTAAATAATTTTTAAAAAATAATTTCTCATGAAACAAATGGGTCTAAATTTGATCCTTAATTATTGGAAAAAAAATTGTATCATTAATGTTTATTCTTCATTTAATAAGCCTCGGAAAACTTTAAGAGAAAACTGAAAAATCTCTAATTTTTTTTAAAAAACTTAGTACAAATTTGAAAATTTGGTTTTCAATTTTCTGAACTGAGAAATATTATATTTGAAAAGAAAGTGTTAATTTTGTTTTTCCTTACTCCATTTTTCTTTAAAATCAAATAATTTTTTTGTTTCTAAACTCTCTAAATTTGCCTTCAAACACTTGATGGATAGCCCGTGGCAACTTCTAATATGTGTTCTGTATACCATTAATTTTTGTTGTTACAGTTTAAAAAGAAGATTTTAAAAAATATATATAAATTGCAACTTTCTCTTAATGAAGTTTTCAAATAAATTTTTTAATGAGACTCCTATAAAACTAATTATAATATATATTTATTAATTAAATATTTTTAAAATTATAATTTAAATAAAATGTAATATCAATCACATCACACTAAACTCCTAAACTGACCGCTAGGATGTGGAAATTTTTCCACACGCCACCTTCCGTGTGGTCAGTTACTGCAAAGAAATTTACAGTCCAACAAATGAAAGTGAATTTTCAAACTTTCATATATATTTTAAAAATATTTTTGTATAGAATTAAAAAAAATTATTTTTTATTTAAAATTAATATTTTTTAATAATTTTATATTATTTGAATATGCTGATATAAAAAATAATTTTAAAAATATTATTTTAATATATTTTCAAGTAAAAAATATTTTAAAAAATAAATATTTTATATTTTTAAATGCTTGCTTAGAAGTTGTGAGGGAACCACGCATAAATACCCTGTTTTATAAAAAATTAATTGTTTTATATTTTTAAATTATTTGAAAGTATGAATATTAAAAATAAATTTTAAAAAATAAAAATAATATTATTTTAATGAATTTATAAAAAAATAATACTTTTAAAAAGACATCTTCATTAATACTAAACACTACCTTAATTGCAAAGCCAAGTTTCATGACTCATTTCCTTCTGATTTTCATAGACATGGTGGTTCAAGTCGAAGCTCATATAAGAACAGCAGACAGACTACGTAACACAGGATTTCTGTTAAGCACAGACACAATGATCTATAATTGATTGAAAGTAAATTAATTATAGCCCTCGAGAAAGTGCTAATAATTAAAGAATCAAGACAGCAGACCTGCGTAGTCAAATCCCACATGATAAACAATGGGATTCGAAACCCGAGATTACAGGAGGCAATGGTAAAGTACTCATGGTCATTGGCACCCAACATTCTGTCTATGATTCAAGTCCTCGAATGGTGGAATTCAACTTCTCCCTAAGATTCAAGTCCTCGAATGGTTGAATTCATCTATATATCTCCCTACATAAACCTCCCCCAGAAGCACTTTCCCTATATTGCGTGGAGATCCACAGTCCAACTTATGGAGTCACTCTGCCGAACTTTTCAAACCAAACATTGCTTACGTAATCCTCTTGTTATATTGACAGCGAAGACCAAATCTAAAGCTGTCTCGGTGGATGGATATATAATGAGATCAAGATTTCCATCCACATATTTAAGAATTGCCACAGAAATAATCAAGTAATTTGATGGCTAGGCTTCTTCTCCTTGGCATTGTGCTAGCTGATCTGTCGATGTTAGGATTACCGCAGCAACCTGCAGCTCCAAGTCCAGCACCATCTGAAGGTGGGGTGGCAATCCCTGCAAGTCCCTGGATCAGGCGGATAGCAAGACATCATTCTGATAAGTCTGAAGCTGGGGGAGATGTGATTCTTGGTGGATTCTTGGTAGCCATTGTTGCAGTGGTTTTGTGTTACATTCGTGTCACGAGACGAAACCAAATCCGGGATGCCTGAATTCTTCCTTCTCTTCAAAGAATTTTGAAGTTGGAGATAGCTATTGGTTAGTTGGATTCAGCTTACTTAACTAATGTATACTTATCTTGTCTTCAGGATTCAGGAAAAAAGGAATCCTAGAAACTATTGAAATTTTGAGAAGATGATGATGTAAGATCTACACAGTACAAATCGTTACATTATTTTGTCTTAAATGGAAGAAACTATTGATGGATACTTTCTTCGTTAATCACTGCTCTTACCAAATTCCCAACTAGCAAATGACACGAACAATGCAATTCCAATGAGCTGGAAAATCGACTTGACAGTGAAATTGTGCTGGATAAACATGGATCCAGGCATGATGAGAGTTGTGGGACTAAATTTCTAATTCAGATTGCTAATTCATATTTCACATATTCAAGAGAACATCAAGGAAAAATTGAGTTGACTCAAAGTACATAAATAAGCTTTTGAGTTCCATTAATTTTTAAAATATTTTGATTTTTCAAATATAAGAAGATCCATATCGATTTATAACCAAATTGACTCGTGCATCAATTCCCTTGTCTCCCTTTCTATTTTCTAAGCAAGAATTGTGATTTTTTTTCCCAAGTAAATTGTCAGCAACCATTAGTTGTGTGCCGAAACATGGATGATTTGTAGGTTTAAAGCAACCTTTAAATCAAAAACAAATTAAAGCACAGTGCCGTTCATCATGGAAATAAGAATCCAATCCACCCCCACCCCCACCCCCACCCCGATAGCAAGTTTAAAAAACAAGACAAGACAAGACTGAAGCCACGGTACGTCATTGACTATATACTTTCAATATATATATATATATATATATATATATAAAAGAATTCAAATCTATAGAATAATATCTTTAGCCGTTTGCATGTGAATTGGTCTTGGGATTTCTAGCTCAAGCAAGCTGGTGCCCACTTGGATCCACAAGAAATCGTACTCCAAATCAGCCTTTTGTTTAATTTATTATTTTTTTCATGTCTTGAAATTTCACATACGCCTCCATATCCATGTTTTTTTCGCCATAAGTAGGCGAATCCTTGTACCTTGATCTTTGAAATTTAATAGTATAATCTCGAATTTAACAATTCCAATATGTAACAATTTCCATTGTGTAACACAAAGTCAAATATACCTTCCAATAAATAAGTAAAAAATATTATTTTTGTCGTCCCTATTTCAAATCAAATCTAGGAAGAAAATAACAATGATTTAGTGAAAGTAGAGAGAGGGAGGGAGATGCAGCCAATTTTCCTTATCTTACAAAGAAGTAAATGCAGCTAGCTATGTTAATCATTCCCTGACATAATTTCTGGGGAATTTAGTGTTTCCTAGCCTAATTTATAGCTATAAATTCACAGAGCTAGTTAGGACTAATATAGCACACCAAATTTCAAATATCCCATCAGCTTCCCTGTCTTCAGATGCGAACAACCGTTCCTTTCAAATTCAGCAAAACATTAAGAACATAACAGACCAGCACAATCATTGAATATCTTTTTTAAGTAATTAAATATTTTTATCAGTTAAGAATCTAAGAATTCCAAAAGTTTGCCATTTGATTCCTCCATTTATCCCCCAGTTTCCTTTTTGACAGGCTCTATGTAGCATCCAAACAAGAAAGAAAAGAAAAAAACAAAAAACAAAAAGAGAAAGAGAAAGAGAAAGTTCTGTCTCAATTTGAAGGAGTTTAATTTGGTTCTTCCTTTTTTCATCTCTGAAACTGAACTCCAATTTTCCTTCCAAAATTCTTCAATAGATCTGCAGCCCCTGCAATATTTCACATAATTAATCTCTCAGTTAGCTTTCCAATATTCAATTTCAAAATGTTTTCTAGAAATTCCACTAAAAGAAACAAATTTGCTAAATTCCGAAAAAAGAAAAATTTTCACCATTTATAAAAATATAAAATCCTCCTTTTCTTTTCACCGAAATGAACAATTAATTGTTTGAACTTTGAACATTTCAAGTTGAGTGTGTACAATTCATTTTTTTTCATGATCCAGAATGAGAGGATCACAGCATTTTTTTTCCATTTATATCTTTCTCTGGACTAGAGTGAGATTAAAAACCAAAAAGGAGACAAAACAGAGGAATTGAAGAAAAATACTCATCAAAATCTAATCAGAATTCAAGTCAATCCAAGCAAAACTAAAATAAATTAAGAAAAACCCATTAAAGAGAAATCAAAGAAGCGCTAAACCCATAAATTAATTAATTACCTTGAGGCTTGCAAACAGGAGGAACTTCAAAGAGAGAACGAGAGAGCTGCTTATGAGCAAGACCAATATCAACAGAGATCAGCCCAGAAGATGGATCATTTACTTCAAAACCTTTGACTGGAAGCCAAAGAAAAAGCTCTTCTTGTATAAGTCCTTCCAACCCCATAAGCCCGCCATAACTGAGATTGGCTCTAACCACACTGTCAAAGACCACTCTTGTCTCATACTTAGTCATGCATAGACCATCTAGCTGCACCTCTAAGCGACCATCTTGGTCAAGACTGTAGGACTTGACATTGTTTGGAAAGAGACCACCTGGTAAGCCGTGGTTTTGAAGGAGGTTTTGTAAAGTGGATGTGGTTGTGGTGATGGTGGAGAGGAGGAAGATAAGGGAGAGAAAGAAAGGGAGGAAAGATACTTGTGTCAGAGACATTGTTAAGGTTTATGTGTACAGATGAAGTACAGAGTTTCAGAGAGATTAACAGATGGATGGGTGTTGTCTGAGGTTTTTCAAGTCAGGTTTTTAGGACTTCGCCTCAGCTCGAGTCTGGGGCAGTGAGTTTTTGTGATGACGATGGTGGATGTAAGGCTGGTGGGAGGAGGCCTTTTACAAATTATGTGCTGGCGAGATTTGTTGTCCATATTGCCCTTGATTTGATAAACCTTCTTTTGGGTGGGTTCAATGTTAATTATACAAAATTACTTAAATGACCTCTCTCTTTTTTTTTTTGAGATTATGATTTGGTCCGATTTGATGGATATTGGCCCTTTCCTTTTTGAAAATAACACAATGTTTATCCAATAAGAGATATGATAGGTTTCGTTTTTCTATTATGATCCGAATAAATAGTAGTAATATATTTATGCATATTCGTATGTATATACTTTAAATTGTTAGACATTATTGCATATAGTAGTTTTTAGTATATATTAATTATACACCATTGATAAAAATCAAAGTTAATTCAAACAAGTACAAAATTTGAGGAGAAAAACTTTTTTTTCATATTTCACTTGTATATAAACATTAAATTAATGTTTTTTACATGATTGAAACTCTGTTTTAAATTTATTCAAAATAATTTTTTACTTGAAAATATATCAAAATAAATTATTTTTAGATTTTTTTTTTACTTTTGATATCAAAAAATCAAAACTATTAAAAAACATTATAGTTTAATATTTTTTACAAGTAAAATTTACTTTTCAAAAGTATCTAAAAGCAAAAGCTACATGGAACACCCTCTAAATTTTAACATTTAATGATTTTAGTCTTGATACAAATCTTATTCACCACTACACAAGGAGCATATGATTTTGCATGCCTATATTTTTAACAAATAATAGGAGACTTCTAAGGTAACAATACTAGAAGGGTAAATAAGTCAAGTAAGCAAGACAGGATACGAAGAGGGACATTGGTAATAAAGAACAAAGGGGTGATGAGGGAGACATAAAATTTGGTAGCGAGTCAAGTGAGGTTGGGACCAAAGAGGATGTTGTGCCTAACAACAGGAGAGGTGAAAGCATCTAAACACAGAAAGCTTACACTTGGCAAAAGGGCAAGAAATGATGAGGAAAAGAAAGAGGAAGAAACTGCTGCTCCGAGCATGGTGGATACTACGAGATTCGAAAAGCACTTCTCTTGTCTCCCATGGTTTTTTTCCCTATATGGCAAATATGGTTTGCGGGGAAACTTACAGTTTAGTCCTTATATTTGTATCAATTCGATAATTGAGTCTCTTGAGAAAAGATTTATGAAATATATATTAATTTAGTATATGCTATGAAATAGCATAAAAATCATTCAAAACCTTCCAAAATATATATTAATTTAATATTTTTAGATTAAAAAAACAATTTTAAGAATATTTTAAAAGACAGGTTGTTTGTTGAGTGAAAATTACAACTACCAATAAAAATATTTTATAAGAAGGATATTTATCAAGACTGTACAAAGAAGGGTGCTTCTTGTGGATGTGACATGTCATGTTTATCATGTTTTCCAAAAACGTACATTAAGAAAACGACAACGTTTATCATTAATGTCAGTTTCTTTTTTCTTTTTTTTATTGAATTTGGCTTAAGATCTTTTAATTTGGTGGTCAATGTTGACAAATTAATATTCTTGACGAAGTCCGTCTAATTTGATTAATTAAACACAATATATATATATATATTGCCTTGTAGTAAAATATTATCGAGCCAATCATGAGTTACGTAGATCATGCTATTCTCAATAATGCAATTCGATAAGTTATGTATTTGGAAATAACATAACATATTAAAATATGTTTATATATGTGTATATATATATATATATATTTTAGATTAACTTAAAATTTAAAATAATATTTATCATCTACAAACTAAAACAACTAATTTAAAACAATATTTATCACCATATTCCTTAAGTTCAACTCATTTACCGAGCAAAATCATTAACAAATGACCACATTAGCCAACACTAGAATGATTTTATTAACATAAATTCATTATTATTGACTTGTTAAAGGGGTTGAAATTTACAAAAAAAACCCTTGACCTTCGGTAACCTATTCATTTACCAAATTACATTATTTTTTGTCCAAAAATAAATATGATTTTTTTTTTGTTTTTGTGTTTTAAAAATATTTTAAAAAAATTTAAAATTTAATTTTTTTATTAATTTGAAATTAATATATTTTTAGTGTTTTGAAATTATTTTGATATATTGATATTAAAAATAATTTTTAAAAATAAATAAAAAATATATTAACATATATTTTAATACAAAATATTATTTAAAAAATAACCACGGCTGCTAATCACACTTAAATATTAATTAGACCACATCTTGTTGGCCATGGTGCAAGCCCAAGGGATATCTCTCTCAATTAAAAACTATGCAGATGGCCTCCCTTAAGAGTAAATTAAGGGCAACCAATCAACCATTAATGGGAGATTAAGACTTCTTTAATACACGGGCATCCCAAAGTTCTCCAAGTTAAAAAGACAAATCGAGTGCTTTAAAGCTTTATTGTATTACATTATATTATATGATAGTACTAATCCATTGGTTGCCATATCGATTAACAAAGCTTTCTGTTCATAATCATAGCGATAAAGATCCACTTTCCTTCCCTTTATGACCTTTTCTTCCTCTCTAATGATAATATTTTCGTGCATGAATTTGATTTTCATGTCTCTATTGTTTTTGACTTTACCCCACCATGCCCCCCTCACCCTCTTATTTTTCCTACTAGCCTTCCCTACACCTTCTTTCTTTAATAATTATGGTCAGGTCATGATCTCTCAGCTCAATAGTTTTAAATCTGATCTCTTGGACTTCCACATTTTGAATTTGGCATGTCTTACAATACCCTATTTATATTTTGAAAAACTAATTTGTTTTTTATTGTAAATTAATGCTAGTAATAATCATACATTATAAAATACAATTTTTGTTATTGTCAAGTTAAGTTTCTTTTATACATTTCTCCCGTAACATCTCAAACATATTTTTAGATTATCATCCATATGGTCTATGGTCTAAATGGATGAGATAGTGCTTGTTATTGTATTAATAATTGTTTTTAAAAAATATATGTAATGTAAAAATATATCAAATGGATGAGGTAATGCTTGTTATTGTATTAATAATTGTTTTAAAAAAATATATGTAATGTAAAAATATATCAAAAAAATATTTTAAAAAAATATATATTTAACATTTACATCTCAAAACAATTTTAAAATATAAAAAAATTAATTTGAAAAAAAAATCAAATTTTTAAAAAGTACATCCACGTTGCTTAAACAAACAAATTTTTTGATTAAAATCTCAACTTGAATTAGGAATTGAAATGATCTAAGACTACTCGTAACGTACTCAATGCTTGAGTCTCAGACTATTATACCAGTTTGACTTCGATGTCCTTAATTACCGTTTAACCATCAATTACTTCTAATGATGACTGCTTCCCTTATGGCAACTCTCTCGTGGCCCATGCAAATACCGGTTGGCCTCTGCCCAAACAGCAATCACCACCCCGTCCCCGATAACTATAGAAGCCACCCAAGAATATGCATACAGTAAACTCAATTTTCCCACTATTACTGTTATAAGGTTTGGCATGTTAATCTCATCTGAATTTTATTAAAAAAAATAAGAGGATTAATTCCAAGTAGACTCATAATCTAGTCAATATGATCAAAACTTCAAGATTGTTTTTAAGAATTTTCCTTTTTAAATGATATTGTTTTTACTTTTGTTAAAAAAAAAAGTTTGAAAACCTACGTAATCAGGATTTGTGTTGGGTCGAATCTCAAGTTCGGCTTTGTAACTATTGGATTTTGAAGATGAGATGAAGCCTTTGCAGATTATTAAGGTCCATTATTGAAGACCCATTTTTGTTAAACGACCTAAAACCCCGCCCTTTTGGCTGGAATGGATGAATTATTCAAGAAGATGCACAAATGACCGTGCAACATGCTCAAGCTGACCATGAATCCTCAACATACTTGACCTGTTAACAGAGAGGTTCCTCTTGATAATGCCTCCCATGGACATATATAGCATTCCCATAGCTGCTGCCTGCATCCCTTCTTTCAGCATAAGGATTTGAGCTTCCAAATAGATAATCAGCAGTCCCCTTCCTTGGTTCCCATAACTTCCACAATCTGTAGCTTGTTGACGATCATTGTCATTCCTAGCATGCCTAGAAAGACAAGGCCAGTAACCAAATAACTTTCACAAAGCTGGTCCATTGCTTCTAAGCCATATCCTGATGGAATTTGTGGCACTTCCTGGCCATACTCATAACCAAGTTCTCCACTTGATCCATTCCAATATCCAGTATCATAGCCAGGCTAAGAATCGTGATGATCACCCTCGTTTTCATCACTTTCTTCACCTTTATGCAAGACTAGAGACTTCTCTCAGGAATTTCCTTTGCCATTGCTATGTTCAAGGGACAGCGGCGCTGCTTCAATAGCAGGAAGCCTAAGCGGTTTCCTTTCACTTCAAGGTTTCGGAGCCGGTTCATTGAGGTGCTGTAATCGATCCATAGGAGACGCCATTTAATGATAAGGCATTCGGATCCGGCGTTGAACTGGGGTAACAAATTTTGTCCGACGGAGGAAAAGGTTTTCCGTAAGTTGCAGCAGGATCATAGCCACCACCGAAAGCAGTTGGATCGTATTCTTCGAAATCAGTCTCGTTAAACTCCGAGACCTTATATGAGACAATGAACCGCGACGGTTCATGATAGCAAGGATCCGGATCATTCTCAATTCGCACAGGCTCACAGAAAGTAAAGGCAGAGTATGCAATTCTTGTGTAAACTTGAGACACGATAATAAAGCATGGTAAGGAAGCCGATCATGGGCATACAATTGGTGCTCATTATAGTTGTAGCTGGAATAAGCCACTGAATATCATGATCTGGGACAGGACCATTGCATTATAGTAAGGAGTTCGAGAGACTCACCGTTAAAGTACTGACTCTGATAATCATCATCATAGCAGAGCTGTAGGCCAATGATCAATCTGCCTCAACTAATATCATCAGCTACTAAATCATAATATGTTATGGTGTTTCGAGCAACCATTTTCCATAAGCTAATCAGATCTATATAAGAATATCAACAAAAGAGAAACACAGCTTATCTGCACATTTGAACAGCTCAATTCACAAAACCGAGCAATTGTCAATGTACAAGAACCATACAATCCCTATCTGATAAGAAAGAGGATATATTTGTTAGGCATTAATAGCCCACCTAATTGAATCTTCCTTCGTGATTATCAAATGCGGGAGCAATTCAGATATTTGCAATGAACCAACCAAGAAGCCATTTTAGAGAAAAGATGCGTGTGCATACGCTTCCATGGAAAAGGACAATAAATTCAAGGTCGCTTTGGAAGAACAGAGGTGTGAAAGTTAGACATGGATGTGACAGAAAAGGAATCAACTTTATAAGCTTAGGAAAACTACAAGGAGCAAGTTCTTTTTTCGTTGGTTGGTCTGTCATTATCATTGGTTAATCCTACAGAACGTTGTTACCTAACCAACTGGAAAGTTTCATCGAAGTTCAACAGGATGAATTGAGAAAGGAGTGTATCATCCAAGCTGTAAGCTTAACAAGACATTATAATGAGAAGACGGTTAACCCACAAGAGGATAACAAGTGGTAAGTATAGTTACTAAATCTGGACCGGTTTGGGTTGATTCAGAATCCAATTGATTAGATGATTGGACTAGTCCAAATAAAATAAAGACTGGAATAAGTAAAAACCTGATTGTAGCTGTGATCTGGGTAACTAAAAAAACCTTTTTAAGACCCCTTTTTTTAATGGGTTTTTTTCTTCTTTTATATTTTTTTAGTTATTTATTAATCCTTTTTAAATTTTATTGTATAAATAGTAATTTTTTTTAATTTTTTAATGTGGAATTTGACATTTTTTAGTAATGTATATTTTATATTCACATAAAAAAATAAAGTTTTTTTAATGTAGAATAAAAAAATCTTTTAATGTAAAATAAAATACTTTTGAAATAATTTTTAAAATTTTATTAAATACTTTTGAAATAATTTTTAAAATTTTATTATTTATCATATGTCTAGTATATATTCATATGGATTTTTATTTTATATTTTCATATAAAATATTAAAATTTTAAATATTTTTTTAATTTTTTAAAATTAATTTAAATTAATCCGAAGCAATATATATTGCTCGAGACCTGACTTCTAAGCAGGCTAACCAATCGAGTCTGATAACCACGGTGGTAAGCAATTACTTCAGACATGAAAAGCTCCTGAACTCAAATCTTACATTTTGAGGCCGAACTAAAGGGCCCAAGGCTCAAGAGAGAGGGCCGAGCTAGAAGGCCTACAAAAAGAGAGAAATATCAGACAGCTTGGGGGCTGTTTGGTCCAGCTATTGGGCCACGATCCAACCGCCTCACCAGTTGTCAGCGAGGCTTCTACGGAAGACTTTGCCACGTTAGTTAGCTCGCTACATAAACAATTCATTTTATTTTAATGGTGTGATGCACGGTTTTCATGGCAAAGCAAATGTCCTGAATGATTTCTCTCGTGCTTGCAACCCTACTCTTTTCATGGCAAATTCATATGATTTAAATGATCTGGGAGTGTATAAATACCCCAGGATCCTTATGTATAAGACATAACTTGAATGATCGAAACACATAAAAAATTTCTATAAAATTATTCTCTTGCATTTTGATCATTATTCTCCTCTCATGCACCATTCTCATCCTTAATTTTTCTAACTTAAGTATTAGGAAATTCTTTATTTACGAAAAAAAATAAAAAATTGTTGTGTAGAATGACCGAATATGAAAAAAAAACCTCATCAATCACTTTCAAATCATAAATAATTTCTATAAATAATTGTTGTGTACCTTTAGAAGTCAATTTATATATAAACACACATATGAACTCTATCTAGTACAACCACTTCCAAATTATAAAAGTCTAGGTATGAATTTGAAATATTAATTATATTCTTTTTAGCATTTTATTTTTTAAAACATGTATAAATTTATAACATTTAAAGTTAAACTTGGTCAAAACTCGATTTAACTAAAAACATTTAAATGACAATGTTGCATGGAAATTTTTTAAAAAAATTTAAAAACATTAAAACGAGCAAGTTGTAGCAAATTCTATGACATTATCATTAAACCTGTTCTAGTGGGTTAACTCTAAAACTTTCTGACTTGATTCTTTGTTTAAATTGAGGTTAAAATTAAATTATGTATAAGTTGTTACGACATAATTCAATCAATTAGGTGGGTTTAAAAGTAGCTTATACAATCGATACAAATATGGCTGGCTCAAAAAAAATTTCAGTTTGATATTGTTTTTTTATTTTTTATAATTGAGATAGGACATATTAGATCACCACTTATTAACCTAGGATAACTGTTAAATTTATAATTTGGATTATTGATACAAATACAATTTATTAACTCGATTGACTAGATATCTTTTTTTTTCCCTGTCTTTTATACTCTCTTTGTTTGGATCAATATTAGATTTGAGTTTGATGAAATTTACTCTCAAATTAAAGAGTTGGTATAGAAAGATAGGTTAAATCGAGAGAAGAGGATTCAAGTTTAGGTATGATAGACTTCAGCATACAATTGAAGAGTTACTCTAGAATCTAGAACTAAATGGAGCAAATGAGATAAAAAATGACTGACTTATGTAAAAGACACATGCTAGATTTGTGCCATGATTTTTTTTCTTCCTTCGAAGGATGAAAAATGGTTGTATTTTTTTATAATGTTTAATTATAGACCTTTTAGTTTTAATTTTTTTTTTTAAAAAACAACCAAATACCTTTTCAAAGTATCAACCTAATAATAACAAGATATCTTTTTTTTCACTCCACCAAAAACCCACACCTAGCTCACCAGAAAAAAAACATCAAGGACCGTCTCAAATAAAATAAATATGAAAGGGCCCAATTATGGAAAAAATATGTGGATAAAAAAAATTACTCTTTATCATTCCATAGTGCAACTGAGCGAGGAACTAATGCAATTGAAACAATCATTTACTTAACTCTTTAGATTATTTTTTTAAATTAAAATTGCTTATAAATAAAATATTAAAAAAAGAAGACAAAGAAGATAGAGAAGCTATATTCCTGGCTTTTGATAATGTGATCATAGAAGACCCATGTTTCTAAGTTCAGAGCAAGGCATAAAACTGCATTTGTATAAGAAATTCAAAATTATGTATTGGACACCACATATATATTATCATTGGAAAAACACTATAGCCCATTAATTTCAGATTCTCCTATTTCTATATATAACATGTATCGAATCATGTATTTGAGGGCGAGCAAGTGAATATAGCTGAAGCTCAGATATAGTGATAAAAAAGCAAAGGAAAACAGGTATAAAACGACTCATACTTATTGTTGTCAAAGTCTCTTGATTTCTATAGTTCGACAAGTATGGCTGTATTGTTGGCCCTATCTTTTATATATTCAAACACACCAAGGTAATGGAATTATATCATTTGAGGGCGGCAAGGGCTTATAGCTCAAGCTCAAGTACAGTAATAAGAAGAAAGAAAGAAAAAATGGCTGTAGATCTTCATGTAGTGGTTCCATGGTCTGCCTTTAGCCACATCATGCCATTCTTTCAACTTTCCATTGCCTTAGCCAAAGCAGGAGCAAAAATATCCTTCATATCAACGCCAAAAAGCATCCAACGTCTCCCCAAAATCCCTCCAAACCTCATTCCCCTTATTGACCTAGTGGAAATTCCATTGCAGAACTTAAACGACAAAGATCTCTTGCCAGAAGGTGCAGAATCAGCGGACTGGATCATAGCTGATGTTATTGTTCATTGGGTGGTGGAGATAGCCCAAGCACATGATGTCTCGCTCATGGTATTTTCTCCATACTCAGCTTCAACAGCTGCATTCATGTGGCCTCTACATTATCTTGTTGGAGATGGCCAGCAAAGGTTCCGGTCCTCACCTGACAGTTTGACAAAACCACTAGAATGGTTTGACTTTCCCTCCTCAATGGCTTTCAAGCTTCATGAGGCTACTGGCTTCCACGCAGGATATTTCTATGGAGATAATGCTTCAGGAATATCAGATGCGGAAAGGACTGCTAGGATTCTTCATGTTTGTCAAGCATTGGCCATACGTACTTGCAATGAATTTGAAGGCGAGTACATTAATCTTTATGAGAAACTACGTGGAAAACCAGGATTCCAGTAGGTTTACTCCCTCTGAGAGACTGGAAATACAAGTAACATAACCAAAAGATTGATGTTTTCTTTTAAATGTAGGAGTATCGAAATAATAAATAACCCCCGAGAGACCGGAAACAGGAGCAACGGTTAATGACGAGTCATGGAGGAAGATGTTCATTTGGCTTGGTGAACAGAAACCAAATTCTGTTGTGTTTGTGGATTTTGGGAGCAAGACTAAGCTAAATAAAAATAAAATACATGAGATAGCTTATGGAATGAGATAGCTTATGGACTCGAGCTATCGGGCCATTGCCGTTTGTCTGGTCTCTCAGGAAACCTAGTGGAGTTAATAATGATGTTGATGCTCTCCCTTCAGGTTTTATTGAGCGTACGAGTAACAGAGGAATTGTGTGTATGAGATGGGAACCACAGATGGAGACTTTATGGCACCCATCAATTAGGGGATCTCTGTTTCACAGTGGTTGGGGATCTGTGATAGAGACTTTGCAATATGGACATTGTCTTGTAGTGTTACCTTTCATCATCGATCAACCTCTTTATGCAAGGCTTCTAGTTGAGAAAGACTTGTCTGTGGAAGTAGACAGAAATGGAGATGTGTCTTTTAGCAGGGACGCTATAACCAATGCTATGGTCTAGCTACGGTGTCTTAGCAAGGAAAAAAATATAGGACAAATACAAGTGAAGCTGCAGCAGTTTCTGGGAATCATGAGTTGCATCAGGACTCTTATCTTGGTAGGTTTTATCAACTACTTGAAAAGTGGTGTTAACGAAAACAAAAGACAACCTCTTCCAACTTG